CTTTGAAACTCCACAAACTCCCAATGCCCTGTGGCTGAGAAAGCAGATTTCCAACAATGCTGCATCCATCTTTACTTGTGCCCAGCCTGACTGTAGCCAGCAAAGAGCTTTTGCCCAGGTTTCCATTGATTCAGTATTTCTAGGGCTTCATGCTACACTTGGTCAAAGGTATCACTCTCCAAATTCAGCTGTTTTGACCATGTTTGAACCAAGGCTGTAATGAGGTTAGGAGCTACGTGGCTCTGAGAGCCCAAAACTGCTAGTGAGAATAGGTAATTTACTAAGCAAGAGTTGCTTGAAAGCACTGTTGTTGATACCTTCCATTACTGTAATGATAATCCTGATCTTATAGTTGTGATAGACTGAGGGATATGCTATGTCAAAGATTACTAGTGTGTTGGAGAACAATTCAGTGGCTGCCTAATCCCCACAGTGCCATATGGATGGCCAGTTTTCAATTGCTAGATCAGTTTGAAGTCTCCCATTTAGCACTATGATAATGCAACACAACATAAGGGAGGGTATTCTCAATCTGAAGCCAAGAAGCAAAGGGATTTGAGTCATAGTGGATGCAACAAGTATCTCAATTTTCAGCACTGTTGGTGACCATGAAGCCCACTGCATGTTCACAGTGGTCCCCTACAATTCAATCATCTAAGTAGAATTGGCCTTCTATATTGATTGTTGACCAATCTAGGCTGTTGGGGACCAACAAGCTAGATGAATCACTAGGTACAGTTTCTGTAGCTCCAAGTCCTTGCAAAAGTCAGGACAAATAGCCAATGGACAGCTTCCAAAGTGGAATATTTCCACACTTGTGGATACTACCTGCATTGGAAATCAGTGAAGAAGTCCATAATACTGACATTATCCATGTACCCCTGGAACAGGCAGCCCAACAAACTAGGCAAGACTAACTAAACCAGGGATAGTCACTGCTGCTACTTTGCGAAGCGAATGCAGCTCAGTGCCTTTAACAAACTGAGCTTATGGAACCCACATGTCTGTTGAGCAATAGCTGGAAGATAGACATACATTCCCAATCAGTTTAGGGGTGGGCTGTGTACTGCTCTCCCCAGCACTGCCTATTGCTGGAAGCAGCTGTTTACTGGTCAGTCAATCCATGAAAACAGGGAAATCTGATCCAAATAATCCTCCTTGCTCCATCACTCTGGCCCATTCATGGTTTCTGCTCAATTGTTACAGACTTTGTAAGTTCCACCTTTTGAACATGCTCCAATCAGAGCTTACTTACTAAGTGGTCACCTTCTCATTCACACTTAGTACAAGTCAATGTCAGAAATGGCTGTTAGATTTCAAGCACACAGACCACCAATTACAGGGCAGGGCAGGAAAGGAAGCAGCAGAATTCAGATTTCCTGAATAGTTTTACATCACAATTTATATTCTGATTCTGGTATCTCAAATTGAGATTTTTACCAGGAAGTTTAATTTGTGGATCTGCTGATCTGTCTAGCAACACAGCTATTGCAATACTCAATTCTATGCATGCTGATTGCTTCCATCTGAAGAGTTTAAGGCCAACATCACTAGGTGGAGAACATTCTCTTCAGCTTTATTAAAAAAAAAAAGGAGTATCCTCACCATTTGAGTTTAATTGCTTAGGCCAGGCAAGCTACAGACTTGCCCAGCATCCACTTCTCCCCCTCAACCTTATGAATTGAATCAAGAAAGTGTCTGGAGCCCAGTGAGTTACAAGAGATGCTGGATGGTACTTAGAGCTCAGCAACTGCTGCAGCACTCCACTCTAGTGCCTTGAAATTTTACAAGACAATGGATGGTATTTTCAATTCCTAACTGGATCCTGATTGATGGACATTAACAGCTGCTGGTATGCTTGTATATTACATTAGAGGACTAAAGTTCCCAAATTGCTTCCTATTCACCCCTTGGACCAGAGTAACAGCTTGCCATAGGTCACTACAGGGTGTCTCAGTGATGCAAAGTGGTTTCCTTTAGGAGACACTTAAACACACTGCTCCCCTTTAGGTAGTAATGTAGCCTGCAGCAGTGGGTCAAGCAACTGCAAGTAACAAGTCAGCATGTTTCATATGTTTTGACAGGGTTGAGTGTATGGGTTGTACCTTTTCTTCCTAACATTAGGCTGCTTGTAAGTTCTCACTCAAGTGTGAAGGGTGAATGCAGCTGGATTCCTACTTCTGAAATAAAAAGGTGACCTACCCATTCCTCAACATTTCATTCAGGTAAAATTGAAAGGAAAATAATTCTAAGATAAATAGGAAGAGACCAAGTTAATAACTACCTCCTAAAAATGTCTGAATACTGGTACAAATGCATTACTCTCCAATCTGCATATCTTTTAAAATATCTCCTTTAATTTCAAAAAATCTTTGAATCAGGGGAGTGGTGATATTAAACCACTGCCCAGAGACAGAACTTCTCACAAACTTTTGTAATCTGATCATTAAAAAGGGAAAGAAATCAAAGCTTTTTGTAAAATTAAAAAATTGACACAAGGATAACAGTATTCAGTGCACACAAACCTAGAAGTTTATCCCATCTGGGAGAAGCAGCAGCTAAAGAAGAGTAACTTTTTAAAAATAGGTTAACAACTCCATGGAATCCTTGTAAACATTTGAATAGAAAAAAATCACAGGATGAAAACAGAAGTGACAGGACAAGGAGTTGCTGAGGTCAGACTTAAATGAAATTTGACAGCACTTTTTTCCTAGTGGAGTTGAATGATTTTCAAAGGACAGATTTAACATGGTCAGTCAGGGAGAAGTGAGGCTGCTGGAAGTTGTGCTTTGGGACAAAATGTTTTGTTACCCATCTTTCAGGTGTGTGATGCATGTGAAGTGAAGAGATTCTTAGAATGTGGATTCTCATGATTATAGGCCAACAGTTTAAGTTCCAAATGTGGGGCCATTAGTGGGATTGCATTGGTGCAATCCATTGCTACCAGTAAAGCTGAATCCTGCCCAAAAAAGCCAACTTTAAGAGGTCACCAAGTGACAAAACACAGTACCTTTATGTTCCTTGGCCTAAATGCCTAGCAGCTGTTGCTTTCTTTTAGATGTGTATTCAAATAATCTGTTTAAAACTTTGTGGTCAATATTTAGCAGTTTGTACAAATCATCATGACACTCTTGCTATAACCCCCTGCCCCAACCATAAGTACCCAGCTCCCCATACATCACTCAGCCTTTGATTTGCCCAGCTTTGGAAGAAATAGAATTGATCCACTACTAATAAGTATCCTGCAGATGGCATCACTATAACAACAAGAGCCTTGTGTTGATGCAAGAAACAGTGGGCAAGAGAGGTTGCCCAACAGTTTTGACAAAACGTACTGTGATATCATCTAAGTTCACATTTCCACTTTAGAGCTTTACTGCTGGGAGCAGTTTTTGGTATCTTATTGATTCCATATGTACCATCATCCACAGATCTAAAAGTGTTTTGTACAGAATTAGGTGCTCAATATTCTAATGACTTCATTCTCCAGTTATTATTCAGAATCTAATCTGATTACCTCATGTCATAATCTAAACATCACATCAAAACAACTGCTTGAACCTTGAAGAGTGAAGCTGTCACTGTTGTGGAATCTGCTCTGAAGAGCTCAAAAACTGAACTGCTCCTTTGCAACTTTTTAAGAGGGGCTGAAAAGAATAGATAAGGCATCTAAGTCTTAAAGAAATGAGAATTGATGTTAGATATCAATGCAAATATTGTCTTCCATTAAGTGCACCATAAGACAGGAGTGCTGCCATGCTGATCACTTGATGCCATGAACATATACAACATTCATTGCAGCAACTCTCCAAGTGCCAATTGACAGACTCTTAACGTGACTTCTATTACAGGGAAAGACAAAAAAGTGGCTAACATGAAAGACCCACCTTTCACAAGTTTCCCTCCAAGCCACATGCCATCCTGACTTGGAAATACCTTGCTGTCACTGGATCAAAATCCTGAAAGTTGTTTAACAGCTCTATGGTTGTTAGATGGACTGGAGGTGGTCAAGAAGTCAACATGCCATCACTTCAGCAAGGGCAATTAGGGATAAGTGACAAATGCTGACCTTGCTTGTGGAACATAGATCCCATGGAAGATTAAAGATCATAATTAAACATTGCCACTTGCATCAGTTTTAGGTGGCAAGCAAACTTTGATATCTACTCATGTTCATCATTGCATGCCACAGAGCTAAGCATGCTGTTGTGACTGCATATTTGGACAGGTGATGCAAAATCATGAGAAGCCATTGGTGTTAAAGTTAGACTACACCACTAAGTGAGCATGCATCCCCTAAAGTGGGGAACATTGAGAATAGTGTAGGAAGTCATTCTAAAAGTTTATTTAAAATCTGGAAAAGACAATGGCACATGGCTAAGAATACAAGTTTCCCAAAAAAGCAATAAATTTGCAAAATGTTAATATATGATAACTTAATTTATGAATTTTATCAAAAGTGCCATTAGGCACAGACTGCAGAAGTGGGTGGAAGCAATGTTCTATCAAAAATCTGCCATATTGTAGCATTTAAGGAAATCCTCAATTATACAAGCCATTACAGCAATGAAATCTGAGTGTTTCAGTAACAAGAAACTCAAACAATGGGCCTGAATGGCCTACCTCAGGCCATCAAGACTTAGTCTTTTCTTACACATGCTTGTTTTAATCTTGGATGTCTCATTTTATGTTAATGCTATGCTGTTAGTGTTGGACCAGTCAGATCCCAGAGTCAAACATCTTGGTAAATCTCATTGGTTTGTTTTTTTAAACACCATGGAGGTAACCTTCTGAACACGAAGAATTTGTTGTTACCTCAATTTAATTTTTTTTTTTTTTTAAAAAATGAAAACTGCTGGTCAAACTTACCAGGTCTGGCAACATCTGTGGGCAAAAAGCAGGATTAACATTTTAAATCTAGGCACTTCAAATTTGAAATGTTAATGCTTCCTCCCAGATGCTGCTAGATTTCACCAGCATTTTGCTTGTTGCAGATTTCAGCATCCAGTTTTGTTTTATGAATTAGATTATGCCAGATAAAAAAGTTAGAAAAAGTTGCAAATTCATTAGAAACACTAGAAAAGGATTCAAACCCACACTAGTAGCTCTACAAACATCAAAACTTGATTGGTAAATTTACCAGTCTCTCCACTTGAAGGAGTCAGCTCAGGCTGACTCCATTGCAACCAGTTTCCCTCTTGCAAATTTCTGCAGTATTCACTAGATCCTTTCTGGAACTGGTTTTCTCTCCCAAAGAGACCTAAAACAATGCATACAAAAGTTTACTATTACTTAGCCTTCAGAGCTAACAAGTCTCCCTAAATTTGGTTTCCAGCAGCCTTGCAGCACTTCATGCTAGGCAATTGAACACTGTGCCAGAGTGGGGACCATTCACATATCCACTGGCTGACTCCCTTATGGATCTTGGTCTGTGTTCCTGGACTCCTGCTATAAGGCAAGAGCTCTATCTTTTCCTAGATATTATGTTAAACTACCAAGCCCAATTTCTTCAAGGGCTGTAAGACTTCATTTAATGAATGTATACAAACATACATGCAAACCTCCAGACACCAAGCTTACATGAACAAATCTAAAAAATGAAAAAACATCTCCATCTTCTTGACATAAAAATACAAATTAAACAAAGTTATACATTTCTTCCTGTAGGATTGTTAGGAGCAAAGTGAAAAGGATCTAAAAGGCACTATTGTTATTACAATCATCTCACTATTTCTAATGTACTTTGATTTTTATAGAAAGTCTTCATTTGATGGAAATATTTCTGCTAGAGTAAAATCTTTCTATACAAGTCTACTTGGATCATGACATTTGTGATAAAGCATTGACTTGGTGATAATCAATAAGCAACCATATCAACTCATCTGCTCAGCTATGGAAGTTGGTGAGCTCCATCTATTGTGACTCAGTCAGTAATGTCATGAACTTCATTTCTTCCCTCATTTGGACTGAGATGTGTTAAGGCTAAGATTGTAATTGTGGGGACTCATCTCCAAATTAATATCATGAACAGTGTTTTCCTTGGTTTATTAAACACAATGATGAGCCTGTAATAGCTTTCATAAGTCACCTCAAATTTTCTGGATGTGAGACCTTAAGCACCTCAACATTATCCAGTCAGATTAGTGGAGGGGGGTCAATTTTAGATTTTCACATTGATTCATTGATATTGATATTATTTGATTCACTACTTTTTCACCACTAAGTGCACACTTCTGACTAGATCGAGGAAGAGCTAATCTGGACTTGAAATAGCAAGTGTTTGTCTCCAAAGATGCTGCCATACCCACTGGGTTTCTCTAGCACTTAATTGCTATTTGCCTGACTAACCTCCTTGTAACTAATTGTTGTGTGACATGACAGATTTCTTTTTCTGCTCTCAGGTGCTCTAAATCATACCTAGTTTTGATATAAAAATTGAGCCTTGCTTTTAGTGGTTTGAGACAGTAACAAACACTCTGGGGGACCTTTCCCATTTGTAGTTAGAGTATTTAGAATAAGATCCCTATATAGAGTGGAAACAGGCCACATGGATCTTAAGAGCAGCACATCCAGACATTCCCCATAACCTGCATTTCCCATGGCTAACCCACCTAGCCAGCACATTCTTGGACACTAACTTAGCATAGCCAAATCACCTAATCTGTGCATCTTTAGACTGTGGGAGGAAACCAAAGCACTAAGGAAACTCATGCAAACTCCATAATGACAATAACCCAAGGGTGAAATTGAAGCACTGAGGCAGCAATTCTAACTATTGAGCCACTGTTGCCCATGGTGTTTTAGTGGGATTCATGACACCCGACCTGCTATAGCTTTGAGCAACTGCTCAAACTTTACTTCTAATTACACAACCCAGCTCTTTGGCCCTCGTCTCTTGGAATTAGATGGCAGGAAAGACAGAATTGCTTGGCACTGCTAATCATGCCACAGGTGTCATATTTAAAGGCCATCTGTGCACCACTTTAGATACTGCAAGCCAGGAATTACCTGTGCATTGTGGTGTTACATCAATACTACAGAACATAGCTTCCATAAAAAGGAAACCTTGTGCCCTGCTTTAGAGGGATCTTCAGGTGCTGATGGACAGAGTGGTAGAGATGCTCACTGTTCTTTATTCAGCTGATTGTCATAGAAGGCCAGACAACTAGACACAGCCAGCCCAGCAGTCAAAGTGGCCCAAGACAGTGCTGTATCCCAGGTCACTAAGCATGCTGTGTAGGAATAATGTCAATGAACAATTATGTTCTGCAAGAATAAGTGTCCCCAGCCTCACTTTCAGAGCCTCCACTGACTCCATCACTACTGTTCACACATCTTAATATTCATGGGTTATAACTATCACATTTGCCTGCAGACTGACTATCAGCAATCTCATCCTTCCTGCCATCTATATTTCCTATTCCCTCATTGAAGGATACCTCCACACCTCATGCCTGCATTACCACCAACTGGTCTTTCATTGACTTGCATCAAACCACATCCCTTAGTCTCCTTGGAGGAAAGATGGCCTACACCAGGCAAGAGGATAGTAGACAATTAGGCTCCCCATTCCTTCTGAAATTTTCTCCTTTAGAACTTGCCAGAAAAAAGACTGCTCATTGAGGACAGGGAGACCTCAGTGGCCAAACAAAACAGCTAGCTTCATTGTGCTGTACTGCACCACTTATCCCCATGGATGCTTGTTAACTCACTTATCTGTACAAAGTTTCTCTTACAGAACTAGCTACCCCTCATTCAGGCACTAGCACACAAACTCCACCCAGGAAAAGGCCAGTGCCAGAGATCCTCATCTCCAACTCTACTGGAGTTAAAAGCCACTCAAACCTCAGGAGGATGCATCAGCAAGACTTCAACTATACCCAATTTCACCTTGATGGGTCTGTATCTAAATTAGACTTGGAAGAACAACCTGGTGAGCACAACACTGACATGACTGTGCAGCTAAAACACAAAACACAACCATCTGCCATCTCAAAGAATTAGAGGATTACTGGAGACCAGGTACCTGCTCAGTGCCAGGCAAAGATGATCTCTAGGTCCTCACTATATTAAAAGAGGACTGGTCCAAATATACAGAGAAAGTTTTGTCAGAGGCAGCAGTTGGTAGGCTGGATTGAAGGATAAAGTAAAAGTAGTCTGCCAATATTATCAATACAATACTGGGTCCTGCATGGCCATTTCCACAAACAGTTTGATAGTCACCAGAGACTCAGGTTTAACAATTGGTGTCTGCTGGATACAGACATGGTTCTACACCATCACTAACCATTGGTGCTCAGCATTAATGGAAAGTGGAGTGGTAGATGAGGGACCTTTGACTTTAGGTGCCCTTTCTTAGGCTGCAAGGTGGTGCCAGGAGGCCACCTGAGAGGAGGAACCACATACAGGACCGCAGAAGATTCTTCTCAGGACACTTGAAATATGCCACATCCCCTCCAAAGCCTGTAATCCCAAACTCTGCAGAAGTCCAAGCCAAGGAGGGTGAGCTACATCTGGGCAGCAGACTCTCAGCAAGTCTGGGCCCACTAGATCCAAAAGTGTCTAAGAGACCCATCCAAGTCTTACAGTTCAATTATAGAGCAGGTTTCCTGCACATCAGTGCAGAAGGACTGCACTTAGATGTAGTGTGAAAGAGGGGAAGAAAACTGGGCATACAATTGGAACTATGCACTTCTGCAAATACATCTTCACTTACAATATCTACTTTAGTGTCTTTCACTGTCAGACCTGATTATCCATGAGAGCCAAGCAGGCTCAAACATGAAGTATGAAAGTAGTTGCATTGGCCAGGTACCACTTATTTCCCACAGGTTACTAGTTCCTTTATTATTGACAGCCTCAAAATGAGAGGTTCTTGACCTGGGAAAATCAATAATCTGTATGGAATATTAGAAAAATAAACAGTTCACTGAAATAACCTCAGCTCTTGTCTCACAATATGTATCACCATTTCCATCACTCACTGTACACCCTCATACAGTATCAAGGCTTCCCAAGGTCATTGGGATGTCTACATCATGAGCTGAGCTGTGATGCTATTTAATTATTCTTGAAGTCAGAATTTTACAGTATAGGAGGCCATTCATTCCACCACATCTGTACCTGCTCCCAAAAGAGCTGCACAACTAGTACCACCCTCCATAGTTGGAGTTCATCACTTTCAAACAATACATAGAGCTCTTTCAAAACCTATGAAATCCACCACCATTCTCCCAGGCATTCCAAATCCTAACAACGCAAAGAAGTTTCTCCACATCTCACTTCTAGCTCTTTGCTGACAATCTTGAAACTGATCAACTAGTAGCTAACGTACCAACTCATTAAAACAATATCCTTCTAAAAACTGAGTTTTGTAATTTTGAACACCTCATAAATCAGCTTTTATCTTCACTTCCCCAAAAAGAGGATAATAAGCCTAATGTAATTTTTCTTTATCCAAAATTCATTCCAGTAAATGAGTTTTGAACTCTATCCAGGACTTGAACTTCCTTCAATAATGTGCCCAAAACAGACACCAATACTCCAAATATGGTCTGACCAGTGATTTGTGGAGGTGTAGCACCACTGTTTCTATACACCATGGCTCTATTTATCAGCCCAAGGACCCTATAAACCTTAACTGTTTCAACTTGCTTGGGTGCCTGTGAAAGAATGTGCATGTGAACCAAGGTCCTTCTGCTCCTGTATTCCCAAATTTGCACCATTGAGCCTACACAGGTCATAGAACACTGCAGCACAGGAACAGGCTCACATTGTTGTGCCAAACATGACACTAATTTAAATTGATCCCTGCTGCTTGCCTATGGTCCATATCCCTCCATTCCTTGCTTATTCATTGTGCTTATCAAAAAGCACCTTAAAAATACCCCTATCATATCTGCCTCTACCACTACCCTAGGCAGTGCATTCTAGTCACCACTAAAAACCTTGCCCCTTCTTACTGTAAATTCATGCCCTCCAGTAGAGATTTCAACTCTGGGAAAAGACTGACTGTCAACCCTATCTGTGCCACTCAATTCTATCAAGTCTCCCCTCAGCCTCTGCTGCTCTAGAGAAAACAACTAGTTTGTCCAGCCTTTCCTTAGAGCTGGTGCCCTCTAATCCAGGTAGCATCCTGGTAAACCTCTTCAGGCTCTAAAGCATCCATATCCTTCCTGTAAGGTGGCAGATTTGAGTCTAAAACTTCATGTGCCTTAAACAAAAAAAATTTTATAATGTCACATTCTGACCTTTGTACAC